GAGTACTTTTTCCTTCTAGACTAGAATTGTGTGTACTTAGCTTTGTTTTAATGATCTAATTAAGTGAACAACAGGGCAGCTACTGAGGATAACTAACATGTTTAAGATGTAAAAAGTACCCAGTTTCTAATGTTGAAGCTGAACGTAATAAGCATTTGTCTTTGCCTGCCTAGGAGATCCTTGATGGGATTGTAAATACTACTGTGGGGAAGAATAAAATTAAAAGCAATAGCAGCCTCACCCTGCTTCTGTTGGCTTCCCTACAACAAACTGTCTAATGAAGGAACTCATATTGAAATTTAGATTTTTCTAATTGAAAATGGCAGCCTAAACTCAAATGAAAAATACTTCCTTTGTACATACCACCCTCCTCTCAAAAGCAAAATGTTCCTCTAAATATATAAAATTGATCATAGTAGCATGACTTAACAATTCATGTTCAGTAAATTTTTGAAAGTAACTATAAATCCTAGCGTGACTATTTACCCCGAGCCTTTAAGAGAGACAAAAATTGTATATGAAAGATGGAAGAGTGCTGTATGAGCCCTCATGCTTACTGATGCTGAAGAATTAATAAAATATAAAAACCCTAAAGGTTGGTTTGTGCAAATGAACATGACTAAATAATCCCCTTGACAGATGTAAAGCCCAAAATAAGGATTCTGTGTTCTTACTGCTTTAGAAGGATGATTTCTTAAAATATGAGCAAATCGGTTGAAATCTAAAAAAAAAATAGGAACTGTAAAAGTGAATAACAGCTATGAACTGAAAAAGATGGATTTGATAGCAGTGAATTAAGCTAGGAGCCAGGAATTGCAGAACACTGGTAAAAAATGTTAAAGAACAGGAAATCTGCATGCAGCAAAAAAGCAAGGTATTTTCAAGGATGTTAGAAAGAACAGGATATTAGCAACAGAAATTAGTATACTCTCACTGATGCAGAAAAAAATATTTATTTTGGTAGAAAGTTCATGTGCTGGAAATAAAACATGCAGTGATGATAGAACACTTCATTTCAGCAGAAACTCACAAGGAAACTCAGAACAGCTACCACAGTTACAGTTTTTCATACTACAGTTGATCCAGAGAATCTGTATTTCATGATTTTTTTCTAAAGTTACTTGGGGGGTAAAACTGGTGTTTTTTCATAAGATATGAGAACAAGGAGAAGATCCAAAGGATGGCCAGAAAGCTAAAATGTGTCAATATTTAAATGGAGTAAACTGAAAGACTGGGTATTTTGGATATATTATCTCAGATAGCAAATACTGAGCGTCAAGAGGAGTCAACTAACAGTTAAAGAAAGGCCACGGCAATTAATGCCACTTAGCATTAGATTACAGAAAAAGAGATCATCAAACTGTCTTGACCTCTTTTCTCGTGCAGTTACAGGTTTCACTGATAAAAATAATAGTGCAGAAATAGATGGCTACGTGCGCTGCAAGACTGTATCCCCACGACGCAGCTGAGGACAGTAGAGCAATGCAAAAATCAACATGGTACATATTTAAATGGGTTAGAAAGTGGGTAATTATAGAGATCATGTTGTTAATGCAGAATCTTCGTGGAGTATCTTTCTAGAGGGGTCTTGCAAGGATCTCTGCTTCTCTGAGCTAATTAGCACTTACTGCTGCCGGGTGAGAATGCATATAGAGTCGTTACTCGTAAGGAATACAGGCTGAGAGATGGAGACGAGTCACCGTTCCAGAGTGAGGGAGGTTTTGTAGAAGTAGGTGTGAGCAAACAGTCTCTACATGGTGAGAAATCACATCCTGTGTTTGGGATCAAAGAAGGTAGGCTGTGCTTGTGTAGTGTGGGATTCTCTCCTGAGCAACGGTAAAGTCTGGAAAAGGTTTGAACGTGATTTCTGCAGTATTGATGCTGGAGCTATGGCTTACAGAATGCGGTGTTTCTTGGATAAACAAACAGCAAAATAATATATGGTCTATGGATTGGTGGTAAAACTACTAAGTGAGTGCTCTCTCCAGTTCTAACAAACACGCTTCAAAGAGCTGTTGGAAAACCTGCAGTGACTCAGAAAAATGCCAGGAAAATGACTCAAGGCTGCAAAACATGCCCTGTATTGAGAAATTTGGAAAGACAGTTTAGTTTATCAAGAGGAAGATTATAGGGAAAATTCCTTACAGTCAAAGTACCAACAATGGAGAGAGAAATTTCCTGAGTATTTTCTAACAGGTGGGATTTTTTAGTTCAATCACAGAGCAGTCTCCAGGGGTCTTCTGGCTCTTGCTATGAGAGACTACTGGTACCTCCTAGATCACTTTTTCTTAAATTTCTGTTCAGCTCTGTCAAAAGCTTAACTGAGCAAAACGTTTCTTTTCAGTGTTTGAGAACACTGGTTGGGCACACAGGCGGAGTCTGGTCATCACAGATGAGGGACAATATCATCATCAGTGGATCTACAGACCGAACGTTGAAAGTCTGGAACGCTGAGACTGGAGAATGCATACACACCTTGTATGGACACACCTCCACCGTGCGCTGCATGCACCTCCATGAGAAACGGTAAGGCTTTGTCCAGAGCTACAGCCACAGCGCGGCTTGAACACACGCTTTTGTTCACGCAAAACGCCTGTGGAACGGGAGCCTCATCCAGCATGGAGTGAAACACAAACCAGGCGAGACATTCACACTAAACTATGTAAATCAACAGAAGGGAGGAGATGATTAATAGCAGCAAAAGATTAAGACTACAAATTAAAGAACAGAAAATTGAGTCATGTACTTTACAAAGTCACATTCTATGTTATTTCAAAACTACTGCATTGTTAGGCTGTGATCCAGTCTCCCACACTCGGAATAATTTCTCCTTTTTGTCAATGCTACAAACTTCTACTCATTTTACAGAATGACTTTTTAAGTATCGTCACTGCAGTATTTTATTTAAATTTTAACTGATTATATCGTAATTTCTGCAATAGTAAACCGTGTCTTGATTCAAGGAACATTGGCAAAACTCTTTTACTTGGCTGTGATACGGAGCTGTTGACAGAGTGCCTGTTGGTTGCATTTCTTCTTTTTTGAAGAACGATGAGGTTTTTTCTTTATCAATGCCATTAATATTAATTCCTTCTCATTTCTGTTCTTGCCTAAAAAAACTTTTAAAAGTATAAACTGAAAAAAAAATCAAGCAGAATAACTGTTTCTTTACTAAAAGTAAAACTTCTGAAGAGCTTCTTTGTTTAATTGTTGTAATTAGTTAACTCAGTCATTAAACCAGAATGCTCATAGCACTGGCTGGAGCTCAGCATATTCATAAGCTTTCATAGATAGATACAACAGTCCACATAATTACTCGTGGCATCGTTTTGCTGTTCAGGAATGAAGTGCCTTTTTAAATACTGAGTGCTAATTATATCAAATAGATCCCGAGGAGGTGAGTAGAGCAAGGAAGAAAAACACTCAGGTCGTTTGCAACCCTAAGAAAATGTGGTGCCAAAGCAGATCTTTGGTGGCTGGTGGACTAATGGTATCTAACGTCTCAAATTAAAACTCATAACTGATTTATACCCAAGTCTAATTGTTTTGATACTTTTCTGTCCAGTGCTAAGTACAAGAGGGGTTTTCTTGTTCCTCCAGAGTGGTCAGTGGGTCTCGAGATGCGACACTGAGAGTCTGGGACATAGAGACGGGCCAGTGTTTACACGTTCTGATGGGCCACGTAGCTGCAGTTCGGTGCGTTCAATATGATGGCAGAAGGGTTGTAAGTGGTGCATATGATTTTATGGTCAAAGTGTGGGATCCAGAGACAGAGACCTGTCTGCACACACTGCAAGGGCATACTAACAGAGTCTACTCATTACAGGTATGTGATTTTCATCTGCTGCTTTAGTTTCCTTAAGTAACATTTAAAGTCAGTTTATTTCGCCTTGTTTATTGTATTGTGGGTACCTACTCCAGAATTACACAGGCCACAAGAATATAGAGGCATCTGTGATGGATGTGTGATAGAGGCGTCTTTCGTTTTGTTACACTAGTTGTATGTTGTCTCAATTTAGAAACTGAGATTTTTTTCGCAGAGCGTCTTTTTTGAAGCACCCAGTACAATAAAGCCCAAATCTCTATACCAGCAAGTTAAGTAGTTTTGTGGGTTGCTGGTTTGTTTGATTGGGTTTTTTTTTGAATTTTGCATGTATTTTGGAGCTATGGTTTTGCTTTCCCCAAAGAAATTCTAAACGTACTGTTTTAAATAAATCAGATGATATAGTAATTGAAAATGTGCCAAAACCCCCATTGGATTAATGTTCTGAATTATGCAGATCTGTTTATCCCTATTTTGTATTCCCATCTTTCCATTACAAACTATAATTCACAGTAAGGCTGACCCTAAAATTTTAATGTTCCGATGTAAATCTGCAGCCTTCTACTTCCTCTTCTCTGAGTAGAGGCCAGATCTACAACTGTGAGGCTTTGTCAACAGAGACGTGTTTCTGTAGGTGCAGGTGGTTATGGAACTGCTCTGTGGCACGGCTCCATTGCCTACCAGTCACCCGGACTGCTCATCAGAACTAAGCTGGCAAAGACACACATAGACCTTGTGTGGGCTCTTCTTACCTTTACTAACCCAAAAGACCATCTTGTTCATTCACAGAGTCAAAGCATCACTTCCAGGCGTTGAAAGGCGAAAGAAATTAATTTCATGCTTGTGCCTGTTCTCATCACAATCTGGCAGGACTTGAAAAAGAAATTAACAAAGACAGTTCAAAACGGGAAGTTGCATTCGGCATGTAACTGCTCTGGTTTGTGGCTCAGAAAGTGAAGCTCCGTGCTAGACGTTTTTCATAAAGTGCAGCTTTCTTAAGATGTATCTCACCATAATAGATTAAATACAAACAAAATACTGAATGGGTCTCCTTTCCCAAAACATGTAGTAAAATTTACCAAAAATCTCCAGCCCTTCTCCTTCCATTCATATGCTGAGGAGTATTCTCTAGACAAGCAGCAAGCAAGTTAAAAATGCTGTACTACCTACCTACCTCTTAAAAATATTGGAAAGGTTGTATTTCATCTGGGGCAGTTTGGGAACGGTGTGTGTTATTCAGCCTTATCTTCACCACTGGCTCTTGTTTTGGCTTAGGAATGTTCATGTCTTGCTCTGATACTGTAGTAACAATGGATCAAAGAATTGGGTTCTGTTACACACCAATACTATTTCACCCTGTGAATGGACCTTGGCGTTCTGAAACAAACTTGGGGGGGGCAGGAGGCTACAAGTGCTTACAGTTTTAGGCCAGAAAGATTCTTTAAAAATGCACAGTGAGCCCCTGCCTTTTGGCTTGAAAGAGCCCCAAACGGCAGAACGCCCGTAAACAGAATGATCAGGCTGAATAACCAGCCTGTCCTCCCCATCCCCATTCCATGGCAGGTTCTGTTATACCTCAGTATTTCCCCATTTGTAGACCCTGTAACATTTTCCAGAGATCCTTATGCAGCAGTTGAAGACTCCTGACCATGTTCTGACCATCTTTCCCAGCTGCCTTTGAAGTAATCCACAGATTCTTAGTGTTCATGGATAACAAACAGCTCAACCAGAGATCCAAACTGTCGCCTGTTTGACTATAGCAATATCAGAGTAAGGTTTGTCTTGATGCTCAGCCTTAAAGCTGTGTTCCTGAATACCTTATGTACACGGAATACAATTAATCTGTGGGAAAGGGAGAAAGAATTAAAAATTTGTTCCAGCAATCTGGTTTACCTCTGTTTAGGAAAGAAAAACATTCTGTAGTGTTTCCACCCAACAAGTCTGCTGAGCTGCTTAGCAATCCTCAACCTTTTATCTGAACTCCGGTTAGTTCACATCCTCTTTTGAAAGCAGGGTGCCCAAAACAGGATGCAAAATTCCAGTCAAAGTCTTATTAATGCTTACTAGAAGTGAAAAGTTATTTTACCTGCCTTATATCGCATACCCCTCTTGCAGATACCAGAGTGTGGGCAGTTTTTTTAGTGTATTTTCACCGGAAATGCCGTGTATACAGCAGATAAGCAGCCTGGATGTGCCAGTCGCTGTCTACATTCTTTTGAACATAGGTGCCATGCTCAGCCACAGATAAAAGATGTCAGTTTTCTGCAGGTTTTATAAAAAGCAGCAGTCTCAGATAGTTCAGTTCCCTTAACTGGGTTTGTTCTTTGCCAGTGTTAGATACCAGTCAGCCCACACAGACAAGCAGTGTCAGGTTGCCTTAGCCGTAACAAAGACTCCTGCCCAGCCCTCCTTCTCCCAGGCTGCCGCTGTACCTTCATTCATTCCCTGCCAAGCTCAGATCTTCACAGTTTTCTCTTGACTTTTACAGTCTTTGCTTTGGGTCTGTTCTTCCATTTCAAATGTCACCCAAATCCTAATGGAAATACTAAATGTCAGACTCTCCCTGCAACTCTTTCTGATATCTCTAATAATGCTGTGAACAAAGTTCTGAACCGGATAGTGTCTCTGCCTCAAATTTGCCTCCCTCTTTGTGAAAATACAACCAAGACATCTGCTGTTTCACCAGCTTTTTACTCTGTCACAGAAAAAACAAATCGTATTGGTTAAGATCATTTTCCAACAAATCTGTGTTTGCTACTTACCGCATTGCTGAGGGCTTACAACGAGACTGATTATTTGTTAGTTCCTTCTGGAAACTGAAGTTAGGCTGACCGATCCATAATTCCCTGTCTCCCATCATCATCATCTCCTTCAATAAAGAAGGGAATTGTATTTGCCATCTGAAACTTGTCTGTCTTCCATAGGTTCTCAAAGATAGCAGCAGATGGCTCTGAGATTGCCTTAAAACAGCTCGCCTTCTGTGGGGTTTTTTCTCCATTCTAGCAAAAGCTTGTACTCAGTTGTCAGTGGTGTTGGTGCTGTGAGCCTACACTCAGATGGCTGAGGACTGAAGCAAAAAAAAGTTAAATAGCTGGCCTCACTTGGTGTTTCCTTCCCATTGAGCATAAATGAGCTTTTTTTATTTTGGCCTTCCTCTTGTTTGTTTGGTTTTTGTGTTTTGTTTTTTTTTTTTTTAACAGAATAGTGTTTTATCATCCTTAATGGCTCTCACTAGTTTTATCTTGTTTTGTGTGCTGCCTTTCTGATTTTGTCCCAGTGTGCTCTTTTAAACACATCTATTGATCTAGTTTCTACTTTTTGTACAATTCCTTGTGCTTTAGCCAAGTGGGTCTTGGTAATTTACTACACTTCCTATCTTTCCTTCACACAAGGATAGTTTGTGTCTTTAAGAAAGTGCCAACTCTCCTGAACTCTTCTTCCTCTCAGAGAATAGATATATAAAAACCTCATGGGAAGGAAGTCTCAATTTATTGAAGTATTCCTCCTTGAAGCCCACTGGTTTTTATTCTACTGCTCTTTTCCTTTCCTTTTTTGAGAATTCTGGACTCTTATGTCATTGTCACCATCACTCAAGTTACTTCCTACCTTTGTATTCTCTACATGTTCAGTCCTCTTGGTCAAAAGTGTCTCATCTCTTAGCAGATTTCTCTACATGTTCATGTTCTACATATTTTTATTTTATATAGAATATATGCCCAGAAAAATCCAAGAATTTAGACATCTGTGTTAGCCTATATGCCTTTCCCTTTTCTACAACGACTAGGAAGTTAAAGTTCCGTAATGCACACAATTATGATTATAAAATGGCTAAAACCAGCATTTTTCAATTACATTCCTTCCATTTTCCTACATTTTGGCTTTTGCATAGATGATTCTGGATTAATGGTGTTGCCCTTCACCAGCTTAAAGTTCCTCTGACTTGTGAAAAGCAGGTTTGGCTTTTTAACGTCTTTATTAGGAAAACTACATTCTCCTACTGTTGCACGCTGTGGTGCATAGTCAGGATTCTGTTGTGTTTAAAGGAGTTGTATTACATGGAAAAGACCAGTTGTTCAGAGTCTTTCTTCACAAACCACGTCCCTCATAGCCCGTGTCTGCAACAGGAATTACACTGCTCTGCTGTCAAACGCGGCTATCTCTGCTTAGGCTGGATTCGTACTTTGTAATGCAGTTTCCGAACATATATAGTATCTAATGTTGCATTTAGTGAATTGAATGTTTGACAGCCTTCTTTGTGAGCTCCTAATGTAATTGTTCGTAATAGATTTACCTTTCTTGTAGTTTGATGGTATCCATGTGGTGAGTGGATCTCTTGACACTTCCATCCGAGTTTGGGATGTGGAGACGGGCAACTGCATTCACACGCTAACAGGCCACCAGTCTCTCACAAGTGGAATGGAGCTCAAGGACAATATACTCGTGTTCGATTCTACAGTCAAAATCTGGGACATTAAAACAGGACAATGTTTACAGACATTGCAAGGTGAGCTTAAACTACCTTCATGTAAATCAAGGTGCCTGCAGTCATTTATGCTGCAGATTCTATGTAAAAATCTTTAAAATAATTACCTACAAAAAAAGAAGCATGGACCACTTACAACTTCAGTATTTTTCTGATGACAGCTTGTGCTGGTTTTGGCTGGTACAGAGTTAATTTTCTCCACAGTAGCTACTATGAGGCTGTATTTTGGATTTGTGCTGGAAACAGTGTTGATAGCACAGGGCGGTTTTCCTTATTGCTGAGCAGGGCTGACACAGAGTCAAGATATTTTCTGCTTCTCACCCCACCCCACCAGCGAGCAGGCTGGAGGTGCACAAGAAGCTGGGCGGGGGCACAGCTGGGACAGCTGACCCCAACTGACCAAAGGGATATTCCACACCATATGATGTCATGCTCAGCATATAAAGCTGGGGGAAGAAGAAGAAAGGGAAGGGCGTTCAGAGTGATGGTGTTTGTCTTCCCAAGTAACCATTAGGCATGATGGAGCCCTGCTTTCCTGGAGGTGGCTGAACACCCGCCTGCCGATGGGAAGCAGTGAATTAATTCCTTGTTTTGCTTTGCTTGTGCGCGCAGCTTTTCCTTTACCTGTTAAACTGTCTTTATCTTAACCAACGAGTTTTCTCACTTTTACCCTTCCGATTCTCTCCCATCCCACCAGGGGGGAGCAAGGGGGAGGCTGTGTGGGGCTTAGTTGCCGGCTGGGGTTAAACCACGACACAGCTGTATGATCTTTTTCTGAATTAGAAGAACAAAATGTATTTAATCTAATCTAGTCAAATCACTTGCCTGTTATGAAAGGCAGATGGTCAGGACTGATAGTAATTTGCTACGGGTATATTAGCCTAATAAGCCCCAGAAATATGTAGGAAATGACATCTCAAAACAGTCAGTCGACATATTTATTTAGGGGTCACTTGGATGTTTCAAAGCCTACTGATTAATTGGATCAGGAGGCAAAGTACACTGTCTGTTGCAATAAATCAAGAGAAATGAGTGGAAGATGTTTTCTTTCAGAAAGAAAGAACAAGGATTTTTGTTTCCATTTTGACAGTTGCCACTCAGGTGTCATGCACATGAACACATTGTTTTGTTTCCCCCCACAAAAAAGGGTCTTACATCATTCCCATATATCATATGCAGCATCACTGGCTGGAACAGAAAATTAAATTTCCCTGTAAAGCAGACTCTGCTCTTTTAACAATACATCTTTATACGTCAATATATAACTGTCAATATTTACTGATAGAGCAATCTCGTAATAACACTTCAAAAGGACTTGGAGACAAATGGTTACAGCGGTCACCTCATTCTGGATGGTTAAGTTCATGTTGATGAATGTCCAAGTGCACACGTGCCCTACTGTTCCTATACAACAAAACAAGATCACTGTAAAAAAGAAGGAAATACTGGGAGATTTTTCTGTACCTGCATTCACTTTCTGAAAGCATGAGAAGGCTTCTGCACCTTTTAACACAAAAAAAGCCCCCACAAGTTAATGCATCTAATAGATAGAAACATTTATTTTATACGCAGTGCTGACATTGCTTTCCACTTACAAAAAATGTTTTGGTTTACTGTTACAGGTCCCAACAAGCATCAGAGTGCTGTGACCTGTTTACAGTTCAACAAGAACTTTGTAATTACCAGCTCAGATGATGGGACTGTAAAACTTTGGGACTTGAAAACGGGTGAATTTATCCGAAATCTAGTCACATTGGAGAGCGGGGGAAGTGGAGGCGTCGTGTGGCGGATCAGAGCTTCTAACACAAAGCTAGTGTGCGCAGTTGGGAGCCGCAATGGGACTGAGGAAACAAAGCTGCTGGTGTTGGACTTTGACGTGGATATGAAGTGAAGGGCAGAAAGATGAAATTGTCCAAACATGTAGACGATGGTCTCCTTTCCCTCCCCCTGAAAAAAAAAAGAAAAAAAGGAAAAAAAGAAAAAGGAAAAAAAATCCCTTGTCCTTGGTGGTGCAGGATGTTGGCTTGGGGCAACAGATCCTAAAGACCTACAGACTACGAAGGAGAAGACAAAGATGACAAACTATAACTGACAAGAGAGGCATCTGCTGTCTCATCACATAAAAAGGCTACTCTTTTGACCGGGGCAGCTTTGCAAAAATACGACTTCCGAAATGAAACCAGGTGCAATTATTCCTTTACTTTCCTCCAACTGCTCCTTGAGCAATTTGGAAGTGAAAAAAAAAATTGTTACAGTTCTTGTTAACAGGTTGTTTTACCACAAAGATCTTGCAAGAAGCTGCACAGGTGCGCCTGCTCGTGCACCCCTGGGTCCCGGCAGCCCCTCCGAGCAACGCGCTCTCCCTTAGCCTCGCTCCGAGCAGGGGGTTGGACCGGACAACCTCCAGCGGTCCCTTCCAACCTCTACGAGCAGTCACTGGTTGACTTTCAAAAACTAGAGAGCATCTGCAATGAGAAAAACAAACAACCAAACAAAAACAAAGAGTCCATTCCTGGTGTGGAAAAGCTAAAATATTACTGTGAATTGTTTTGTACAGTTTTATCAGAGCTTTTTCTTTTTTTTCTTTTATTCCTCCTTTTTTTTGCCAACCATTGCCAATGTCAATCACAGTATTAGCCTCTGTTTAATCTATTTACTGTTGCTTCCATCTACACTCTTCAACGCATAAGTTGCTCTGAGGTGGCAAGTTGTCCTGGGTTTTGAGAGTCCTCTGATGGATTTAATTCGCAATGCTGGTGCTAGAAGTAGGTCTTCAATTACGGGATTGTTGTCCCACCCCTGTACTGTATTCCCAGTGGCCAAACTTATTTATGCTGCTAAATGAAAGAAAGAAAAGCAAATTATTTTTTTTTATTTTTTTTTCTGCTGTGACGTTTTAGTCCCAGACTGAATTCCAAATTTGCTCTAGTTTGGTTACAGAAAAAGACTTTTTGCCACTGAAACTTGAGCCAACTGTGCCTCTAAGAGGCTGAGAGTGGAAGAGTTTCAGACAATTAAGAGTGAAGTTTGCCTGCAAATAAAGAATTGAGTGTGTGTGCAAAGCTTATTTTCTTTTTTCTGGGCAAAAATTAAAACACATTCCTTAGAACAAAGCTATTGCAGCCTGTTCTGTGGGGAAATTTTTCTTTGTGAGGGCTGTGGTGAATGGAATGAACATACATTAAAAAAACTGACAAAATTTTTAAAAAATACTATAAAATACAAAAATGAAAATAAAGTTGCTGGTCAGTCTTAGTGTTTTACAGTATTTGAGAAGAAAAACAACTGTTACAGTTATTGCTGGGAGGAACTGACAGAGCAAAAACGTACGTTTTTGTAAAGATGTCACATGCAAACAAAATGAAAAACGAGAGAGTCACACGGTTTGCCTCATTCTCCAAGAGCCACAACTCAAGCTGAACTGTGAAAGTGGTTTAACACTGTATCCTAGGCGATCTTTTTTCCTCCTTTTTTTTTTTGTTTTTGTTTTATTTATAGTCTGATTTAAAACAATCAGATTCCAGTTGGTTAATTTTAGTTATGTAACAACCTGACATGATGGAGGAAAACAACCTTTAAAGGGATTGTGTCTATGGTTTGATTCACTTAGAAATTTTATTTTCTTATAACTTAAGTGCAATAAAATGTGTTTTTTCATGTTAGTTTGTCTTTTCTTTTTCTTTTTTCTTGTTAATTTAATATCATATATCCTACAAAGGGTAAAGCAGGTCAAGTTGCTCAGCTTACTGTTAGATGCTAAAATTTGTCACAGGACTTTTTATGTAACCCTTCCACAAACAGGTGCGCAAGTGCCCTCTCCTTCAGTTGCCGTATAGGATTTGTCACGTGGGCTTCGGCAAACATGCGGGAAAGCCATTAGCTTCCTATGGCTGAGAACGTGTCAGGATTTGACTCTGGGCAGAGGTGGCTATAAAAAGCTGCTCAAGTACGTAAAACATCTTCTGATAGCATCTGGTTACTGCATCTTAAATTGAAATTTGATGTTTATTATTTATCGATTTCAATCAATTGATTGCCATCTGACAGCAGAGAATAAATCCATAAATACAACTAAAATCAAACCTGGGATTGTAGGAGAGCTTGAAATAAAGCTGCTGAAGAAGGAAAAATGAACTACCCCCCATGATTCCAGATCAGTCCAACAGCAGCTTTATCAGTCCCCTGAAACCAAGGTAAGTCATCAGCTGCCTCAGAAACTTACTGCTTGAGTGTCAGTTTCTCTCAAATCTCAATCGAAATCATTGTTTTCTTCTGCGTAAGACTCTTCTGTCAGGGCATAGCATTTACTTGTTCATGACAGTTTTCCCTGTAAAAACTGTCATTAAAGACAACCAGACTAAAACATTAGAACAGAAAATACATAGATGGAAAAGAGAAATATTTATATACTTCTACATCTACGACTATGTGCTATTCAAATGTAGTTCCAATCCCTACGTTATGCAAAACAAGCGATGCTGAAGGATCATGCTTCCATCTGGCCTCTAGAGATTAAAAAGCCATATGAAATGACTGAGCAGCTACAAATTGTAAAAAATCTGTTCATTGAGTTGGTGTTTAAGGGAAAAAAAAATTGCAGCGAGCACTGAGTTACAAAAGCTATGATGGTCTCAGTATTTATGTAACAACAATTAAAGAGCTAATCCTCTCCTAAAACGACAGTGAAAGATTGCCAGGACTTCACCTTGTTCTTCTGAGCAGGCAGGCTGGGCCTCTCAGCCCCTCGATGACAGAAGGTACATCAGTCTGGGCTGAACTACTTGTGAGAGGGGATGGAAAGAGAAGGATAAAAAGAGGAATATTTAATTCAGGGAACAGAGCAATAGCTTTTAAGATTATGTAGTTTTCTTCCATGATCTGTCGAAATCGCAACGACATGTTTTTGAAGAGCAAAGGCGCTGGCCTGGCGGTGGGGGAGAAAGAGATTTCTGAGTAACGCTGCGCTGGAGGGCAGGAATACAAATCGGGCAGAAGAGCGGAACGACAGAAGAGGAAAACTAATGTCCAAATCAGTTCAAGCTGTGTTTAAGAATGCCTTAAGCAGCCAGTATGACCAGGAGCAAAAGGTGCTTAACCAGAATTGAGAAGTGTTCCGGTTGATAGTGTAGTTCCAACACCATCTTATGTTCCAATTAAAGCAGAATAACTAGAACCTGTTAAGCAAACTACATTTATAGGCTCCTTCATCCCAGTTGTTAAAAAAAATATTGGCTGCAAAGTCAAGATGTGACAGACTATCACATTAAATATGAAAAACCAACACAGTACTTCTTACAAATTATTTTTAAAAGGCTTTTGCCCTTCATTAAAACAACTTTACAAAGTTAATTGTGCTACAGCTCTAAAGACTTCTGTTTTGTGAAAAGCCTGTTTAGGTTTGTAGGAGCTGATGTTGCTTATAAGGCAACTGAACAACATGTTTCAATAAGCAGAAATTTGTTAATTTAAGTGACAGCATTTCAAAATGGGCCTGTAGTAAACACGTCATGTGTAAGAAACTGCTGAAGCAGTTTTTCTTTGCAGTCCCCTTACTGCCCCCTTTACGTTAACACGCTCACCAGAACATAGTTCACTTACTGTGAAGTCTTCAGTTTGGCAGCACGTGCTCCAACCGAGGCTGTTGAGGAAACATTTTGTGTAATTAGATTTTGATTTTTTTTAGTGAGTGGAGTGGGTTTTTAAAAGTAAAAACATGTAAGAATACTAATATAAGGCTGTAAGTGCTTTATGCTCTCAATACCCAGGCACTTCTCGAATCTAGTGGCTTAGTCATTGTAGGCTCTGTCAAAATATCCGCAGCCATCCTAGAGAGGGAACACACTAGTGTTTCTGGCATCGGACCCTCTTGGTTTAATGCTGATTCCTTTTTTCTGTTTCAGCCCGAGAAGGAGGTTCCTCATTTTCTCCTGTATCTGAAGCCAACTCAACAACGTTAAAAGATTTTTTTTTAATGGGTATTATTCTTCATGGACCTTGATTTTAGCTAACAATAAGGCAGAACTAGTGTTGCCACTTCCTCCAAAAGCCTGTTCCTATGGTCTCCATTTATTTATTCAAGAGATAAGACCAGACATTTAACAGCTGTGTCTACACCCATTTGTAGTTCAGATCAGCAGCTCTCCCAACAGAGCACAGTGCTGCCTGGTAGCCCACAAACGGCATT